CAAGCCTCTAAGTCATAATTCATAAGAGAATTTTGTTGTTGATTCGAATTATTGGAAACCTCATTTTGCACAATCTCGCCTGGAGTATTGATATATTTCATATACATATTAAGTTATTGACTTACCATCTAATAAATATATCATCTTCTAAATCATAAGTAATATATTTTATTATAGGATTTATTACATTATGTTTCCAGGTTGATTCATTTATCAAGGGGCTTTGCATTATATATTCTGGGATTGTCCATAACCTTAACCTAATTATAAATCTCAATTATTGCATTTAATAGTGACAAAAAAATATATGCAGAAAACACGTACATAGACTTGACCAAATCTTTCGTGTTAGAAAATAATGATTGATTCTCACATTCTGGAATATTTATATATGGATTTTGTTGTACGTCTGAAATAAATTCAACTAATCTTTTGTTTAATTTCACATGTTGAATTTGCTTATTTATTGTATTCCATAAATTATTTTTTTCTAATTCTTCTCTAATTTGTGCATGCCAGATAATTATATTTTTAATATCCAATATTCTAGACAATAGGAGATCATTTGGAGCGATAGAAAGCTTATGAAAGGTTTGGCTAATTATTTTTACAACTGGGTTTACATTCATATTTTGAAGCTAATAAAAGGTTAAATTTTATATAATCTTATTAATATGAATGCTAAAAATTTGTTAAAAAAATTGATTACCTTTAAAATTATGTTCTTAGCAGTAATAAATTCAATTGGTTCATAAACTGTTTGATTTAAAAATCATAAAATCCCAAATTTTTGCACAATGTTCAATATATATGCTATATAATGTATATAAATTTGTTTCTTTCGTTTTCTTGATCATATTCCAAAATTCACTTAATTCATTTCTATTAATATTCAATAGAATTAACATTAATTAGCCCCATTTGCAGAATCTTGAAATAAATACATAAATATGTTTATCAACATTAATAACTTTAAACATAATATATAAAATAATTGTACAAAATTCCACAATGTATATTAGCTAAAGCAAGGCCCATAATATATACAAAAATTTATGGAGAGGCACAAAGAAGGGTATGTATACGAAGGGGCTAAGTTGAAAACTAAGCAAGGCTCCATATTGTATACATACAAAAAAAAACTAAGGCGAAGCTCCAAATTGTATACATAAAACTATGGGGGCATAAAGCAAAAAATATATAAACCCTAACTTCTAATCTAACTATAAAAAAAATCGAACAAAATGCATAATAAAAGTTTTTGTAAATTTCATATTAAAATATTTAAAATTTCCAGCTTCAGCCGTGACAATAATTATTCCAAAAATAATCCCATAACGATAACATGAAACAGTGTAAATTTTTTTTATATTTTTAAGGAATTAACAAAACAGTTAAAATAAATAGTTTATTAGTGGGTGTTTTTAAAAAATCTCGCGTGGGATTTGTGGGATTTATCACGGTTCCCAGTCATGTTTTTTATTTTTGTTTGTTTATTTTCCTTTCTTTTTTTTTTAGTTATACTTTTTGTTTGTTTGAATTATGTAAATTCTGATCAGAATTAAAATAGCTGACTGAGTTTTAATCAGGCATTTAAGATGGTTTAATTCTGGTTGGCATTAAACAGGATGGAATTTGTGAAAATATAGAAATTTTACAGTCAAAAGATATGGTAAACCTGATCTTGAAGAATATTTTCTCAAACTATTTATTTAGAAAGTCACAGAAACAGATTGAGTCTAAATAACATATATAATTATCAGATCTGGCAAAGGTACAGTTTAGGCAAATTTAAATTATCTATTTAAATTTATTTCAAAGCAGCCAAAATTTGTAATAAGATGAAGTTAAAAAGCAAATCAAATAAATTTGTAGGGGTTTAAACAAGGTACAAAATTTTATAATTATTCTTTAAAGTATAAATTTACGCAATATTTTAAAGAAAAACACTAAATTTGTATTAGTAATAAATAAACAGTCAAGTCATTAGCACTTCCTATTATGAGCTGGATTGCTGGCTTTTCTAATCTATTTATAAAAATAGATTGTTCGGTCAACGACATTTTTCATAATATTTCATGCTATTAACTTATAATTCATTTATTCATTTCTTAATATAAGCTGTGCTGCTAACCTTTCTAATCTATTAAAGAATATCCGGATTAACAGCATTTTTTATAATGATTCATGCAATGTAAAAAAAAAAGAGATTTCAAATTTGAATATCTGGAATTGAATCATCATCATCAGCACTTATTGGTGAATGGTCTGGTGTAAGAAGAATGGTATTTGTGGCGAAAACTTGTTCTAAAGAAAATATAGAATTCATTTCTCGTAGAGTTTCTTTTGCCCACGTCAGAGTAATAAAGAAATCCAATAAGTTTACTAATGATGCCTTCGGAGAATCGGACGTATCATCACCTGAGGGTGAAGATGATGGAGTTGATAAAGTTATTTCCTGAAAAAGTACCAATTTTTTTGCAGCATTGCTTATTGTTTGAGTATCAAAGTTAGCATTAACATTATTAGCATTCCATTCTTGCTTTTGTCTTGAAAGCTTATTCATTAACTTATCCAGTTTATTAGCATTTTCAGCAACTGCAACCTATGAACAGTAATAGTTTGTTAAAAATTTTAAACTTTATGATCTCATGGATGTTAATAATTACTCACGATCAATTCATAAATTGTGAATAAAAATTGTAGGAAATTAACTTTATCAGTAATTTTTTTGTCTAAAGGAAGTTCAGCCTGGTTTAAAAGTCTCGAACGGTAGATTTTTTGCATAATATGATCAAGCACAGATGTTTCTACCGTCTTTTCTGTATAAAATATTAATTATTGTAAATAAAGAAAAAATTTTAACAATAAATACTTACTTTTTACTTGAATCATAAATATATATAATTCATTCAACAGAACATCTAAATCTGACTCCTCTAGAATTGGCCCAAACTCTGCAACTATAGCTAATTCACACAGGCTCTTTTCATCTTTGGCATTGCAATTATTTCTACCAAGATCAAAACTTTCCTTATTGGGAAGTTTTCTTGAAGGTGGTCTACTTACTTCGCCGACCAAATGTACATAATCATATTGATTACATAAAATCAAATCACAATGATGACCTATTGTGCTTTTCTTTTTATTTAATCCAAGTAATTTATAGAGGCGTTTCCTTTGAGCAGATCCTGCTGATATTATCTCACCACTATTAGTGTTATGTATACAATCAAGTAAAAATAAAATTAAATAAAATAAAAATAACTAATAATTTATTTATACTCACAATAATGTACAAAGATTATCATTAATATGTTTTATTAATCTGAATACGAAACTATAAATCGTATCTGATGTAAATTGTTGTTCACTAATCTTATCTATATTATATGAATTCGACCAGATCATTTGCTCTCTAGGAAAAAGAATTTAAATTTAATCAAATATGGTATATAATAATTATCAATATATTACTTACATATGGTTCAATATAGTTTTATATATTTCATATTGTACCTTTTCTTTATAGCTACAATTTGGGGAAATTTTTGGTTTTTTTGAATTACTGCGTAATAGTGCAGTATTTAGATCGGTATACCAAGTTAAAATATCATCAATATAGTCCTTTACATATAAAGAATTAGAATCGTTGACGGAAATGGATAATTTTTCTGATAAACAATCAAAGTCTTTTTTAGATATCTTTTTCTTTAGTTGAGAATCCAGTTTGTAGATACATATTACACTACTTTTAATGGGACTATTAAGAGCATAATAACTATTAGTAACTATTAATAAAGTATGTATATTTAAACAAATTAATTTACTCAAAGTATTTCATGTCTTTGTCATAATCTACTGAATTTATATAATCAATAAATAGATCATAAAGGTCTTGCCGGCTCACTATTGGAACTTTCTCATTTAGTTTAAAAAAAATAACCAATTAATTAACCAACTGTATAGTGTGAAAAAAATTGGTTTAATTGATTACCATGGTGTCTTCAGCTTGTAAATAATTATCTTTTAAGATTAAGACAGTTTTGAAAACTAATTGAAGTTCTTCTATATTTTTTCTAGAAATAACTTCCCATAGGATCTTCACCCCTTGCCGATGTCATATTTTCCTAAAATAAATAATAATAAAGATGATAAGATATTATACCACAATTGTCTATTTACAATGTCTGTCATTTAGTTATAGAACCTTATATTGTTTTATAAGAAAATCTCCTTCTTCACCATGTTCATTTTTAAAATATTCCAGAAAGCTTGCATAATGACCATTTTCCAATGCTGAATCTACTATGAAATCTTGTTGCTTAATACGATAAAGTAAGAAATTGTATAGGTTTCAAGTGGTAATTTCGTTATCCATAAAGAATTGAAGATAGGATTGTTTTGCAAATTTTGATATAGCTATTAGATAGTGACTATGACTTTTAAACTCCATGTTTATGTATAGCAAAAATGTAAACCTATTATACATTATCGTTATCGTTATTGTTACAGTATCGTTATTAATTTTTTTTTAGATGCAGATCTCATCATCTAAAGCCAGGTACATCACGAGATTACACAGCCCTATGGCCAATCAAAATTTGCACAGAAAAGTTAGCTATACATATCACATGTACAAGCAACTCAAAAGAGGCCCTAAACTATCCTAATATTAAAAATATAATTTTATTATTTCCAACAGAAATGTATGTTCCCATATCAACCCAAAATTTATAAAAAGAGAACAATCGAAAGAACTATATATAAACTTTCTTCATAATAAAATCACTCAATTACATCAAATAGGGTCTTTGCCTTGAAAATCACGTTATAGATACCACACAAAAAAATGCGCAGATTTTGGGTAATTTTGGCCAGAAATTAATTTTTTTTTAATTCTTTTTTCTGACATAAACTAAATTTAGAACAAATTCAAACAACCAAATATCTTCTTTTATTTGATATATTTATCTATATAATTTGCATAAATTTAAAAAATAGTCCTCTCTTTATCCATAATATCTAAAAATAATGCAGAAGAAATGTGAAAAATCAAACCAATCCAAAAAATCATTCATAGCTCAACATTCTGCCTATGAAACTGCCTTCTGCGCACTAACAAAAAGTTTTTCTTGCGAATTTTGGTGTTAAAGATCTCTGATCGTTATATGGAAAATGATTATATATTATTATTTACTGATTCATTTTATTTATTCTCATTTTCTGCACTTTTTGTATTATTTTCGTTAAAAATATTAATACTGTTCCAATTATTATTCCTTCTAGGATTCTGTATTGGGTTTCATTCATTCACTTTTTCTCGTCATTTGTAAAATGTTTAATTTGACTATTTTCTTGATCATATGCTTAGGGCAGACAATAATAGCTAAAACAAAATTAAAGTTTAATTTGAACACTAAATGATGTAAATTATAATTAAGAGTTTTGATTTATACACTTGGGCAGTCATATGCAGTATCTATTTTGTTTTTAGGTAATATACTAATATTAATTTGATTCAGGTGATTGATAAATAATACAGAATTAGATAAAATTTTCAATTATAAATTGTTTTCAAGTACAATAACTATTGGCCATTGCTGCTACCTGCGAATTAGTAAGATTCATTACATTATTTATTAAATTAAAATTTCAATTAGCTAGTTTTTAATTGTAATTTTTGGTAATTAAATTCTAAATTCTGAATTACTGCAGATATCGCATTTTATTTTATTAAATATCGAAATGAAATTAACAAATGATTGTTATTTAGAAATTATCAATAACATTGACCACTATGTTGGTAAATTATTAGATATTTTTAATTGGCTAAACTGATGGTTTACTCTCAAAATTTTTGCACGTTTTTTATGTTTATTCATAGTCTACCTCTTAGTATTAATGCTGACCAAACTATATCTTGAAGCTGTTCAAAATTTTCTTAACTCTGCAGTAATTCGGTAACTTATAACGATAAGTTACAAATTTAATATAACGATAAGGGTCGCTACTGTATATACCAAGTAAATATTTAATTTAATATAATAATAATTATTTTTTTAATATGGTGTCTGAATTTGTTTCAATATTTTATAATAATATATGTAAATTTTTTTTTTTACAGGATAAAAAATCCTTAGCTTTAATAGAATCTCATGTTGCTTTTACACATTGCACTTAACGTTTCAGGTTTAATATTAATAAGTAACAAGTAAATTATCATTCAAAATAAAGAATAAAATTATATGCACGTAAATTCAGGGAATTCTTTTGTTGGTTGTATTAAAAGTTCATCTCACAAATATAGAAACCTCTTCTGTAGCATGATATTGGTATCACATACAGGAAAAGATACAGTATTTCTTTTCTAACTATTTTTTATTTAGATGGGACGAACACCGAAAGAAACCTCTATTAAATCACAAATAAAGTTTCTAAAAAACGAAATAATACGAGCAAATATTGAAGTTATACAAGTACATATATTATTAAAAGAAAAAAATATCGCAAATTGGATATTAAATGTTAAGCATGAGAGACTTATTAAAGATTATACTCAATTAAAAGCAGAAAATGAAATTTTAAAAATTGGAATTATAGTATCTATATCTATCATAATATTTGTAACAATAAAATACATTATGAGTTAGATTCATAAAATTTGTTAAAATTTGATTTAATGCGAAGTTTGTTTTAAGAAAAAGTGACTGAGATCTTTATGACAAAGTCTTCTTATATCGAAAGCTTTTTGTTATAAAATTTTTAATTGGAACTTGTAAAATCTTTCTTTATATCAAGAGTTTCTTATATCAAAGGAGAGTTATTTGTACAATGTTGTATACATACTGTACTGTATTGAATTACAAAAAAAAAAGTTAATAATAAAATTAAAACATTTGATACAAAGAGCAAAATAAAGTTTTACTATAAATTGTGTTTGCTTCGATTATAATTAACAGTATATTTTGAAAATACAGTACTGTAAAGCTGATGATGACTAAGATTTACCATTCATATCTGCCTTGAAATAAGCAGACAAGACAAGATTTTTGTGAATAGTTTTTCTTTCACATAACTTAGTTTTATGCATTTCAATCGTCAATTTTAAAAAATTTAAACTTAATGCTATTTAGAACCAGTTTTAATTTTTTTACTCGATTTTTGAACTCCTACGGCCCCCCATGGCCGTAGGAGTTCGATTTAGTTTTTATCCTGATAAAGTCTCATGTTCAATTAACAACTAATAATAAAATGGTGATGTTTTATAAAACTGGAGCCTTATGTATTAGGTTCAAAATTTTTAAAAAAAATTATCAAAATAATATGGGGTTGAGTCAATAGAAATCAAACGAATTTTTTCCAAGTAAATTTTTTTTGAAACTTTAAACCAACAAAAACTTTATCAATTTTTTTTTTTTAATAAATGTTAAAGTTTGTAGAATTCATTTAAATAATTTTTTATTAAATTTGATTAAGTTATTGTTATGTTATTGTTGTTTAAAGTTTCAAAAAAATTTCAATAAAAACAATTTGCTTAATGATTATATGCTTTTTAGTGCCAGTCATCTGCCAGTGGTAGAACTGCATCAGAGATTGAAGTCTCCTCTAAATTTTTTTTCTTTGGCTGATTCAGGTAGTTATGATCATGAATTTTATTTACTTTGCTTAATATACCAGTAGCTTGACTAAAATTTTTTTTAATCTTCAAACTATGAAGAAAGCGATGTAAGTATTTAAAATTTGTCTATTATCATGTGATTTTGCGGTCCTGCAGGACTGCAAAATCATATGATCTTGGCTTTAAGTATTAACGTTAACGTTAACGTTAAATTCCCTTTCGCCTATATTAGGTATCTGATCCTCATACCCACGGCAAACGTGATCAACCGCAGCTTATCCGAATCACGTTATTCGGACCTCACACTAGACATCTTCAAGGACACAAAAATTAAATAGTCAATTTGTATGCAATAATATTAAAAATATAGTTACTTTCGATAAGAAGCAATTGAATATTCTTGATTTCTTGACTTAATAAATTTGTTTTTGACTCAAAATTATCTTTGATTTTGTTTAAATTCTGCAGTATAGCTTATTAAAGTTTGTATTTTATGATTTATCGTTATTATATAAAAATTGATTTTCCGAAGATCTTTTTTTTTGTTGATTCCCCCTTTTTTGTAGCACTCAGCCATATATATAATCTGATTACGTAACTTGAAAGCGATTACAAAATGCAAAATGATGTCGTCCGATATAAATAACCAATTTTGTTCCTCTAAAGTACCATTTTGAAGTTCTGATTTCAAGCGAGTAAATGTGATTTTCTCACACACAAACTGATTTGTTGCGGAGATCTTGCTTATCTGTGAGAGATTACATCAATGCGTAATGGTAACAATTTATTTTGATACCACAGGATCAACTCTGAGAATCGATTGGTCAAATTAAGGCAACCAAGTTCTGATCAAAATGAGTTTTAATGACAAACTGGTTTGGCGCCTTTGCTAACATGCAGTTAACGTTAAAACGTACCAATCAATCTTTTGCCCAACAAGTATAAATATAAAGATATAAAGAAGGTCCGTGTGCTAAAGTCTTTATTGATTTTTTTCTTGCCATAAATTTATTTTTTCTTTATCTGCAAAAACATGAGTAATGACGATAGTGAAATCGATAGTGAAATTGTGAAATTAAATTATTATACCCAATCAAATGTTAGTGAAATAATAACTACACTAGAATCTACTGTGATTAATATTCTCAAGGGTTGCATTTTTACCGATTGCTATATTATTGTAGACGGTGATATTGAAGATCATTTTATTGAAGTGAAACATTTTGCTTCAGCTTTCCTCGACTTGTTAAAGGCTGAAGGGAAGAACTATTTTGAAATCCCTTTCGGGTATATATT